CAGTTACAAAATTAGTTACGGTATTAGTTTTTATACAGACTTCAAGAGGCCAGCACAGCCTTACAGGAAAGATCTGCATGTTATCATCTTCAATGCAACTTTTAAGCAAAGGCGAACAGACCATGCAAAGTCTCCAACGAGGTTTAATCCTTAATTAACTCTGGTCAAGGAACTAATCATTTAAAAGGTTGAATGGTCAGGAAAGGGCTGAAAAAGAGAGCAAAATGCACATGCAGTTATTTGCATTGCTTTCTTGATTATATAGCTGCAGGTCTTCAGACAAACCTCAGAAAGTCACTATCTTGGCATCAGCTTCAGACTCAATTTCTCTAGTCAGGTGATCCAAGGCACAGCATCAGAACCTTAAGCAAGAGTAAAATCAGTACTCCCAGAGAAATGCAGAGGCAGGTGAACAGATTATAAGCAGGGAGTTGCAAAGGAACTAGGAGATGTCGATTCCATGTTAAGGAGAAAGAAGAAAATTTCGACCGTGGAGTCTTCTTCAGGAAAGAGGGAGGGGACAGGGAAAGCAGGGAAAGGGGGTTAAGGGGGCTGCATGTTTGGGGTGGATCTGATAATCTGCAATCCTTCAAAAAGAGACCAATTCGCATGGATTGGGAAATGTGAAGGATTAATTAGTGCTCGTGTGAGTTATTGAGATCAAGTTTCTGAAGAGTCCGATCAACGTGAACTAAAAGACAGACAAATGACGAGGCCGGTTTCTTCTCATCTGAAACTAAGCTGCATTAATAAAACTAGGCAGCTTTAAATACTAAAGCTCATAATACACATACTGTATTGTGCTGACTTGTGTTTGTTCAGTAACAAGTGTGTTGTGCAGTAGGGTGCATAAACATATACATACATACGGACACTCTATTACAGCCCTGCAGCAAGGTCTGATGCTCTTACAGCACCTACTTTGTTCTATCTACAACTCTAACCATCCCAGAACAAATTGCCAAGACAGGCCCTGAGAAACAAGCATGGAACTCTAATGTGTGTCCACACATGACAGAAAGTGTCTTTTGGCATTTCTGGCCGATGCCTACCTTGAAACATGTTTCACGCAATCAGACAAGGCTCCATACTCTCAGCCCTTTCTAGGTCGTTCTTTGAATATGCCATATGTCTAACATATTTGTGAGTGACTCATATACGGCCATATAAACTTGCTCCAAGTTCTAAAACAAAATATCAATCAAAGACTTAAGCCTTAGGCATTGCACTGTCCCTTTAGAAAAAAGTTGCGACATCTTTCAAATCAGATAAAAAAAAATACGTTCTTATTTAGAGAGCTCCAAAAGTTTCCCAGCGTATCTGTAGTCTTATGATCTGTTTTTGCACTTGCCAACATTCCTCAGCTGGGGCTGAGGCACTTTCTCTGTGTTGCCCCTTCTGACCTTGTGCTAGGAACTCAATCATCAAACACTGCTCAGGCTCTCATGTTTGATGTGCTTCATGTTACTACAAACACGCCTGTGCAATTCCCACAGGTCCTGCTGAAGCAACTTTGCTATCCTGTGTGTACGACCCCACTCGAGAGGCACAAGATTAGGCGCGCTAGTAATGTTTTTCAGTGGCTTTGGGCCCAAAATGAATCCTTCTTGTACACACCAAGTTCAGAAACTGGAAGAGGCACTGCGAGATTAGACTAAGCTGTGAGACTCAGTGGAGAAACAATAAAGCTCAGGTTCGAACTCTTCCGTTATCCTGTGAGCATAGTCAGACTTTCAGAAGGTGAGTGTTAACATAAGCTGAGTTAACTATCAGGCAATTAAACGGATTAGGAACATGTTAAACGTCAGCAATGGCTTTGCTTATGGATTTTTGTGATACATTTTCCTTGTTGATTTGCAAGATGGGAATTTCCAGCTGATGAACAGCAGCCCACACAAGGTCAGCGTGACAGCCTCAGCCTGCATCTGACAAAGCCTCTCTTACAGTAAGTGCAGACAGAGGGCATTAAAGTATACTGATCAATCTGCCATAGGAAATAACTCCATTCTCATATTCCTTCTGTAAAGAGTTTTTATATTTACAGAGATCATCTAGCATTGAAAGAAAAAGATTATTCTTGTTGAAAGGTCAGCAATCACAAAGAACAGAACATTACCTGACTAATTATCTATGATGACAATACTTCTACTAGGCTGTACCTAGATTAATAATCTACTAAATTTCCTCGCAGTTCTGTTAAAATATAGGCTATTTCAAATGTTTATAGAGTTTTTTTAAACAAATATAACTTTAGAGAATAAACTAGAAATCCCTAACGTATGGTACAAAAAGTTACCTTTCATGAAGTAAACTTATGCTTTGGTGACTAAGGTTTTTTTTCCCCGAGCTGTACACTATAAAGACATCAAAAGCATCTTAATTCATGTACAAATAACACTAAATAATGTATTTAAAAGGTGTTCGGATTTTAAAAAGACCGTTGCCGAATGTGTTTGGTGTAAGATTAAATTCTTATTTTAGTGAGCTTTGAAGTCTGGAAAAGCTGCTGGTTTTTCTGGATGTCAACAAGAGTGCATGTTCATTTAATTACTAGGTGCTCTGCAATTACTGTCAACATCACCTTACAGGCACGAACTAAAGACCTCTGTTACTGCAGCAGACTGCAAGAGCCATTACCAAGTGCAGAGTGATGCTGGTGGCCAAAAACGGTAAAACCATCTTTACAATTCCAATTCAACAGCGATTATCCTTAATCAGCTGGCCACTCGTGCACTTTTTTTTCCCCCAGTACTGCCGTAGAGGAGATCCTGATTAAAGTATGATTTGGCTCGGTTTTCTTTCAATAACATGATAGGGTTGTGAAATAACAGTAAACAAAAAACCTTTTTTCTGCTCAATCCACAATTACCTTTGCCAGGAAGAGCACCTTTTTGATAAGGAATGGATATAAAGCATCAAGAGGGGAGAATGAAAAGTGTGTTAAACCTGTGCCTTAAAACTGAATTTTTTACTTAAGACTTTAAACTTTAAAGTCTTAAATAAAAAGTCTTACATTTTAAACATAAGGCCGGAGACCATCAATGTTTCTTTACAGTAATCTGGACTCAAAGTCAGTAACGCTATTCACCCCAGAGAATGCTGTTAGTCATTCTGAGGGAGACATGTGGCAGCAGCACTGACTGCACCAAGAGATACAAACCTCTTGTGTATGTTTGTGCACATACATACATACTGATTAAGCCATATCTATAAAGCATTTGAAAATAAAATGAAATAGAAATAGAAATAAACTAACAGAAACCATGAAAAATATACACTAGATGCACAGCTCTCATTCATGGATGAAAGAAACAGAATTGAAAGAGGCCCTTCCTCATGATCTTCTGGTCCAGATGTGCCTTCAACCCAGATTCAACAAGCACAAATTACACAGCTGGCAGAGTGGACAGCTAATGACAAGGTACAACGCGCACCAGAGGTTCAAAGACAGAGCTGGTGCTTTGAACATCCACAACTGAAATCCCCCTCAATTAGGAAAACCCATGGAAGTCTAGGGGCAGAGATCCACGGTGACGTACAGATTCCTAAAGAAACTTTTGGAGAGCCCTTGAACAGTACACACTGAGAATTTGTTTCTCTCCTTCTGATCCAGAGCTGCTCCTCTGAAAAAGAAACAAACTAAAATCTCTGATTTACGAACTACAGAAACAAGCTTATAGATAACTGATCAGTAAATTTAATTTAATCAGTACATTTGAATACAGAGGTCTGAAGTATTAATGGAGAGAGAACATTTTCCAACTTAATCCCTCCTAAAGCCTGTAGACAAAAGAATGCTGAGACTCTGCCAGAACATCTTTCAGCATTTGCTACTTTGGCGGGAGCTAGGGGAGAGCTCAGGGGGGGAAAGTTTTCCTATCAGCTCTGTTCAATCAACGGTCTCCCACCACTACGCCAGTGGAGCAAAACTAGGCTCTCCACAGCAAGCAGGATCTGTGCACCTTCACCAGCAGATAGCAATGGACTCACAGGGCCATTCAGCACAGCCCCCCACAAAGCAAAACCAGAAAACAGCGCTAACCTGCAAACAGGCAAAAGCGATGTCCAAGCCCAAAACATACAACATTAAGGTAGCATAATTCGCCTTAGCGCAATGCCGGTCTACAAACCTACACTTCTTTAACAGCCTTGGTTTGATTACATCTGACAACTTCTCTGAACACTAACACTAATGTTCTAACAAAAAAAAGGCACAACCCAAAGGACAGTCTAGCAACAACAAATCTGATTTTAAAAGCACGTTTTTATAGACGATGTAGGCAGCATTAAAGAGCGTCTTGCAGAGATACAAGTGGGGAGCTGCGTCAGCATGCAAAGGAACAAGTAAAGGTTTATTCCACGCTGAAAAGAGAAGAAAATAAACACAACGCTTCGGCTGTGGAGCCTCCACAAGCCGACGCATTGCGTTTACTTTCTTCTCTTTACAGCATGGAATAAAAAAATGTACTTGTTCCTTTGCATCTTCCAGAGGTGTAGAGATCGTGGCGTTCTTCACCACCCAGGCCCCCTCAGGAAAGCGTGCAGGATCAAGCTCATCGAGCAGAGTCCGGGGCAGAAGGCGGACACTTACAGCACGGGCTACACGCATGTCACAGGTGTACCGGCGCGCTTCACCGCAATTCAGAAGCTATGTGTACACAGCCGCTAGCCAAGTACAAAACAGCAACGGCGTACTACAAGTCTCGGGGAGAGACGCATGTAACAGGTAGCGATACTGCTAAATGAAGCAAAACAAAGACACAGGGTACCAGTGAGCTGTGGGCTCTGCTCTTCCACATTCACGTCTGAGGTAAAACACCCTCGGTTCTATCTGATTGTGGGCTTGCATCACAATTATAACCAACTGTCAGTGCTACAGTTGGTAACAGAAGTATATTGAGTTTTTTTAAAACATGGGTGTTTTTCCCTTAAAGGACGTACTGATTAGAGCGTATTTCCTCTTGGTGCCTCACAAGTGTGACGAGCTCACACGGCCTCACCGTTCTCGTTCGCGGTGGCGATGCACTCCCTGAGGGACTCTGTGAGGCCCAGGCTGGCGGCGGTGGGCAGCGGGCCCAGCAGCGTGGCGAGGGGCAGCGGCTGCTTGGCGGGCGAGGCCTGGCCCGGCTCGCCCCCAGCGCCCGGCCCGCCGGACTGCGGGAGCACCTCGTGGCAGAAGTCCTTGCTCAGGTGCTGCGCCGCCGCCTCCAGCTCCTCGTCGTCGCGCTCGTCGTCCCCGGCGAGGCTGCTGGAGGCCAGCGAGAGGCTGTCGTCCTGGATGTCTGAAACGGCACAAGGGCGCACGCTGTAGCACTGACAGCTGGTTAGTGCCGCGCCGCGCGCCGCTGTGTCTGGGGTCTGGCGAGGCTGTGGAATTCACATGACCATTGTGGGACAGCAGTACTACCATGCATGACAAAGGATGCACTACACAAGGCTGTGGCAGCGGCACGGAGGTCTATAGGATGTGATTGACCATCCATCGGTGAGATTCACACCATCCGCTGTCGCAATAAAGCCCAGTCCATCACTCCGGATCCCAACCATCCTGGCTACAAACTGTTCTCCCCCTGCGCTCTGGCAAGGGGTACCGCGCTGTTAAAGCACAAACCACTAGACTCAAAAACAGCTCCTACCCTACTGCAGTGCGCATCCTTAACAGCTGACTGCAGTGCCTCAGGACTCAATGTACCTCTGCACTATGCACTTTTTTGCATGGACTGTTTTGTTCCCCACTACTACATATTTATTGTTCTCCGCAGCACATTTATTGTTCCTGTTGTTACTTATTATGTTCGTAATGGACTGTCTATTTTGTGTGGTGTTGTCCGTTGTCCTGTGCCGTATACTGCATGGTGCGCAAACAAGAACTCCAATGTACATATACATGAATGTACAGACAGCAATAAACTCTACTCTGTTATAGACATCCTGCATGTTGGCCGAACATGTCAAAATGCACACGCATAGCTCGGTGTAGTTTGACGAGCGAGAAAAGGTTTTATTTGCGTCCCATCCAGTAAATTCCTGCAAGAACTGATCTTTTCTGACCGGATGGGGTGATAATAGGTGGCAAAAGGGGATAAAATAGGAAGAAAAACCAAACTAAATTGTTTTTGTCTGCACTAGAAAAAATAAACTGACATCCAAACAAGGGCATTCCAAATATTTCAAAAGATATACTTACATACTTATTAAAATCAAGGAGAGGGGATTTTATTAATTGCATCACTGAATGCCTCATCAGATGCTATTGTGTTGTACAACGGCCTCTGATGGGGAGCCTGGCATGACGTGACGTTTCATCACTTAGGGGTTTGTTTTTGCAATGTTTATTTTAATTAATGCATATTCTTGGTTTAGGCTGACAGTCTGGGGTGGTAAAACAAATGTTTTATCATAGACAAAAGCTTAAAATTAAAAAAATGACTCCACTTTAGAGACAGATGCACAATAAACAATTTAAAAATGCAGAACTAATTTTGCTACAGAGTTAGGTCATTCCAGACTAGACCCATCAGATACAGTGATTAGCTGATGACATCATGTTCCTTATGTGTAAACTGAGGGATGTTTTAAAGAAACAGCAGGTGCTCAACAGAGTCAGATTGTAAATTCTCTGTACCTTCCTTCGCATATGATGCGTAGAGCCCTTTCAACCTGGGACGGCTGTTCTCAAGTTCTGTCTCAATTTCATCTTGGTAACCTGATATTTCACCTGCGGGATTTAAAAAAAAAAAAGAATAATGAAGCCCATCATCACAAACTTGCACATGATTTGTAATTAGCTTCAATGAGGAACACAAGATTAAATGGAAAATAATAAATACCTTCCACTTCATCTAGTTTCTTCGCCAGTTCATGCTCAAGCTAAGAAAACAGTAAAAAGAAACAGTAAAAAAAAAAGAAACAGCACAAACGGTTTGTCCTAACAGTTTGTCTAGCATTGATGGTAATAACTGGTAATAATAACCCTTATACACAGATAGTGCTTTTCTGGACACTCCACTCAAAGCACTTTGCTGATAACGAGGACTCCCCTCCTCCACCACCACTGATGTGCACCCCCACCTGGATGATGAAAAGGCATAGTGCGCCAGTACGGTCACCACACATCAGCTCTCAGTGGAGAGGACAACAGAGTACTGAGGCCAACTCAGATGGGGATTATAAGGAGGCCATGAGCTGTAAAGGCCAGGGGGAAATTTGGCCAGGACATGAGAAATGCTCTGGGATTTTTAATGACCACAGAGAGTCAGGACCTTGGTTTTAAGTATCATCCAAAGGACGGCGCCTTTTTTTACAGATATGGTGTCCCCATCTATACTGGGGCATTAGGATCCACACAGACCGCACGCTGAGCGCCCCCTGCTGGTATCACTAACACCTCTTCCAGCAGCAACCCCAACTATCCCAGGACGTCTCCCATCCAGGTACTGGCCAGGCTCACTCCTGCTTAGTTTTAGTGGCTTGGTGATATACTGTAGCTGCTGGTTATATAATACAGAGAAGTCACACTGTACTGTAAAAAATATATAAAATTGCAATCAGACTGAATTCTGTTTTGTATGAAGATGGCTGGAAGGCATGCTTGTACAGTTCACTGTCCTTTCTCCATCCCCCCCGAGATTCCTGACTGAGAAAACAGCTGATTTTTGTTAACCAAAAAAAGCAGTAATTTAAATGATAGACTTGAGGGGCCCAAACAATGCATGTTCAGACACCTCAAATACTTGTGCGAGCACAGAGCAGAATACTATACCTGCTGGAGTTTAACTTTTCTCTGTCCGGCCGTAAATGAAGGAGGATCACATTCCTGCTCCAGGTCTACCTTCATGAACTCACTGATGGTTAGCTGGCTTGTAGGAGTATCTTCAAATTCCGTTAGCCTTCGAGACAAATTTTAAAGACAAAAATGACCATCAACTCGGTCTTCCAGCCACTTTGTTTAGCAAGACAAACTCGCATGTTAAAAAGATGCATTTATTACATTTGAAACAGCCCACAAACACTGAAGCTTTTTGTTCAAAATGGATATCTCACAGCAAAAACGAAAGACTGAGATATTACAGGATTGCGAGAAGAAAATATATGTATTATTATTAGAGAACTGAGATCAAGTACAGACTCACAAGAAGCTACCCATACAGAACTGAACTAAAACAAATCAGTGCTTCAGTTTTGCCACAGAAATGCAAGTAAATTACAGGACTAATGACAGCAACAGAAGAATTCCCCCTTGACATTTTCTTTTCCTAATGAAGTATTAAAATCAATAATTCAAAGGCTTGACATATGATACACCAGTATTTAATACTGGCACCTAAATGAAACAACTGTCACTTTCGTGTGACAAAAAAATGTGCAAAGAAGGCCAAAGAGAGAACCTGGGCAGAAAGCCAAGCCTCCATCAAGGGAAGAAGTTTTATGCTGACAAGGAAACCGATACACCATCCCCCCCGGCGTGCCAAACCAGAAGGTGCCTCCAAACGGCTCCAGCAAATTCACGCTGAGCTACAACGCATGGATCTCCGCTTCCTCAGTCGGCCGCTCAGAACTACCGGAGCGACCGTGCAAAGGCAGCCAACCTGGGCTGGCCGGCCGGCCTTCCTGAAGGAAGGTCCTCCTTGTCCCCGGGCACTTCGGTATTCCCCGCACAAAAACACAAGGAAGTGTACAGACAACGGGAGACTGCCTGGCCCTCCGCGTCCAGGCCTAGCATGTCCGCCAGCTAGTGGCTCATCAACCTGAGGACCTCGTCCAGCCGTATAATGAGAGCAACCAGGGCGTAGCTTCAATAACAGGGCTGTGTGGCTTGTTGCAGAGTCCCATAACCTGGTGTGTAACAACCTGCCTCCTGTTCTCAATTATAAATGAACTTCCCCTCTGTTAGCTTCCCAAAAGGTGACGGCCTACAGTGAATCGAGGAGGCTTTGCTGCTTGTGTTCGGAGAACAGGCAACCAAGCACTATAAGGTATAGTGGGGCAGGCAGGCCATTGTACATCTGATAAAAATGATGGTCCTGCATCAACTAACATGGTGGCCTGACCCTTGGCAAAATCGTATGAGCTACTGCTCTGACAGAGGTGGAACCGGGGATATTTTGTCAACAACCAAAGCTTGTTCAATTTTTACACCAGCAACAGGCCCTAACGTATCAGTAGAAGCATGGCCCATCACATAAACTAGTCCTGCTCAAAAACTGTTCATTATTCAAGGCTTTACGGTATAAGTCTAAGACCTAACAAAACAAACAGATATGAAACACAGGTTTCCTACATGAACCAGGATGGCTGCCTCTGACTGTTTGCTTTTCTTCGTTGTCATCATAGGGCCTGTAACTCTAACACCCGCTGCGTGAAGACCATTAGTGAATTAACAATATTTGAGGGTCATGCCAGTAACAGACAATTTTCAGAAAATACTTCTAATGAGAAGTCTACAACTCACAGAAATGAATAACCTGAAACTTCCTGAGCTGCCACACACATTGCTCAAGGTAGCTTCAATCCCTTGTAAAGCACTCGCTCCAAAAATGAATATGAAGGTTTAGTGGGTCTGTCCCAATGTGACCGTGCCCCTCTTACCTCTTTCGTAGTGTGGCCTCACAGACTTTGACCACTCCTATGACTTCTTTAACTGTGCGACGGAAATCATGCATCCTGGCAGCAACGAGGAGGGCTGAAGAAAAAACCCAACAGCACGTTTTAAGCTTCTGTCTCACACAAACACTACACGCATTTAAAATAACCTTTTGAAAACCAACATTTTTTTAGGAAAATCTACACATATTACCAGAATCTACTACCATACAGCAACTTGAAATACAGTATAAACAACTTCCTGGTAAAGGATTAATACATGCGGTGCAATGCTTTGCATTGATCATTTAGTAACAAACACTACACTTAACATCACAAAGACCTGAAACTTATGAGAACATGAATTCCAGGTTAAATTCCAGTAGTACTAACAACATTAAGAAATAAATTAGTCTGAGGAATTAGCACGTTTGCACCCTTCCATCCAGAGTTTATTTGGAATTAATGCGCTTGAGAGTAGAGTATTGCACATCACACTGCAACTTCTACTTAAGTGTGCCTGTCCTCTTTCATGTGTTAAACCTAATTTTTACAATCAAAAGACATCCTTGTCTTGGCCAGCAGCTCGCATGTGGAAAATAACTTCAACCTTAATAACTGCATTTTCTTGTGACCATAAATTTTTTTCTGCAGAAAAGCATATGAAACTGCTTATTTAAGAAGCAAGACTGAAATGGAGTTCACACTCGCAAAACCTCAGCACCGCCACAGGCACAACACAGATTGCTAGTATTAAGTCTGGCTATTAAGTGTCTTCATACTGGGATAGAGCAGTGAACTCTTAATTAACGCATTGATTATGGAGTGTTCTAAAACGTCCTCATCTGCGCTTACTCGTTAGTGAAATGATGCATCAGATTAGAACCTGGTTTGAAGTCTCCTGTTGCTGATTTGCAATGGGCCCATTAAAATCAGTAAGACAATGCACTTCTTCAATGGAACCATGGTATTACTGTAAGCCTGCACACTTTCTGCTTCAATGTTCACACTTCTAAATCAAATTGGAAGCATGCCTATTGCCCTCAAGTGCTTCCTCAAATACTGACCATTTCCCCTCTGAAGTGGGAGTTTGACCACATTCCAGTGTCTCCTCACACTCAGTCAAGTCCTTTAACGATGCCTATATGTAGCAAGTGTGTCAAGCGAGAGAGATTTTGCTGCTGATGCCAATATCACAACAGTAAAACAATCCCGGCACAACCCCCGAAATGCTTAGTTTTGAACAAAAAAAATCGCAAACAGAAACACAGAAGCCTGAATTAAAACACTCTTCACTGAGTTCAATGCATTCCATAACAAATGCATAGAGCTGAGTTAATGATATATGCATTTCAACCACTAAATTGTAATAGAAACAAAGCATGTATTTCCTGTTAAGTGTAATATTTTGCCATCAAAGTCAAACTTGGCCTTCATTTGCTATTGACCATGACCAGGGGCCGTAAATGGAAACTAAACTGCAGGGTGAGAACAGGAAGCCTATCTTTGCTCAAAGGTTAGGGGATGTAGGGAACAATGCGGCCAGTTATTTTGTGGCTGCTGAAACCTGTTGTTTGCAACTTAAAAATCAGTCCCTTCCTTATCCCCAGAAGGAGTTCATGTTGTTAATGCATTACATAAGCTGCTTGCATTCTAGTCATGTTTGTAAGCACACTGAACTACAAAGAGCCCAAGATGCCCTTACTGCAGTCTAAAAGCCCTTCTACTGAGGATGTTTGTTTGTCCAGACAAACTCATTTTTTAGGTTATTTTGGGCATCACTCCACAACACACAAAAAACAGCAAAACAAACCTTTTAGTTGGATTAGGAAATTGGTAGGTGTACGCTTGTAGCTGTTCTATATTCCATTACGTCCATTGTACAACAGGACCAGGCTAGGCGACTTCTAAAATCTAATCTTGCTCCACTACTCTACAGAGGGTGGAGGGTAGTAGAGGAGTTTACTGCCATGTGTACCTGTATACTGGAATTCTTATTCGTGCTGATCTCTCAGGATATGCCCAGTACAGCAGACAACACCACACAATGTAGGCAGTACTTTATTATTTTTAACAGAATAAATAATAACAACAGGAACAATAAATATGTAGCAGTGATGTTAATATCTGACTTATTAACTAATATTTCATATCTGACTGATGACAGACTTATTTTAAGGGGTCACATGTTGCCCCTGGGGTGGGGGGGGTAGGAGAAACGGGGTGAAGCGGGGGCAGATACTGTACCTGCACCACACAGCCCCGACGGCCTGCGCCCCGTGTGCATCCAGTCCCTCTTCATCCTCTGGAGGAGCCGGAGCGCGGTCATGGACACCTCGTGGTTCTTGTCGCCGAACTCCAGCATGTGGGCGAACCGGGGGATATACAGGCAGGGGTCTGGAGGCACGGAACAGCGGAGGGGAGTCAATTCACGGGGGAACCGGCTCGCCTCCGCCGCGGTTACGAACGGCACAATGGGAACCATGGAAAGGATCATCTTTAAATAAGCCAGAAGGCGTTCGGCCACTCTCGCTGGTGCTGCCGCTGTGGGTTAACACGGCACCCAGTCGGGAAACACGCCACGGAGACTTACAAACAAGAACGCTTCAAAGAGTATTTGGTCTCCGAGGCAGAAAGTCAAAGCATAACTTCAGATACAAAGCACTCGTGATAGAGCTCCCAGACTATAAAACCTTCACCCTGAATATCTGGGTTGAGATTAAACGAACTCACAAAAAACAGAGCACCCTTACTTACTGGGGGCTCTGTCTCACATAATGTCAGCCTGACATACAGAACACTGTGGTGTTCCAAAAAAAACTATTTCAACACTTAAATAAAGTACACGCTATCAATGCTTTTAGTTCAGGTGGGTAGCTGCTTCAGCATGCGTAGTCTGCAAAGGAACAAGTAATAGGTTTATTCCATGCTGAAAAGAGAAGAGAGAAAACACAACTTTTTGACTGTGAAACCTTCTGAAGGTGTCTCACCTGAAGAAGGTTTCACAGCCAAAATGTTGTGTTTTCTCTCTTCTCTTTTCAGCATGGAATAAACCTATTACTTACAGTATCAATGCTTTTATGTGCCTTGCACCATTGAGAATGGGTATTCTGTCGGAAGAAAATGAAATTCCAATTTATATTTATTCTGAGCAATTTCATGGTGTTAAACAACACTCAAAAAATGAATGTCTAAATTGATGTAATCTAAATCTTTTGCACCACAGACTAATATTTGAAAAATCTTCAGAGAAAGCATTTTGAAACACCCATTACCTATCTGCAAAATTAGGCTATTACGTTTCTTTGCTTGTTTCAGGCGCCGACTTATAAAACAATTAATGATGGAAAACCTCCCAGTGTCACCTCACTAATTCTCAATTTCAGCATCTTCTCTAGCTTTCTGATTGCTTAACCAAAGAACTGCACTGGCAGGACTCAGGATTAACTGCTGTTCAGACCCAAGTGTATTTCCTAGGCAAAAGTCAGAAAACAGGAAGAATTCCTATTAGAACTGCTATTACTGAAATGTACAAAACCCGGCCCAATTAATACCCAGATGGTGCAAGCTTCACAGGAAATGCCACTATTCAGTGGCCTGGCAAGTGGTAAAAGGAAGAAAAGACCTGACCGAAAACCCAGCACAAGACTGAGCCCCAAATGAACAGTACAAAAGATGCATTGTTCAACCTGGTTGGCGCCTTCAGAGAAACTCTTTTCCCACAAATGTATATATAAGCATGAGTGTGGACCTGTATAAGCTAGAATGTAAAAGTCTAAGTGGAGAAATATTTTAAAGGGTTACACGTTGCCCGTGATCATAGGAGCAGTTAGTCTAAACATACTATATAAATATGTAGCGCAAGACAAAAGTACTCTCCGTGCTGTGTTTTTTTTTGTAACTGATTTTATATCACTTCACAAACTGCATTTTGTACAGGTTTTTTTGCAGAAAGGGGAATAAACACCTAATGAACTGCAAATGACAAATCTCATCCAAGGTTTTCAACAACAACAATCAAAAAAGGGGTAAAAGGGTCATCAAAGGCGCACCTCCTAGTTAGTATTTGAACGCAAGAACATTTGCAACAAGAGACTTTTCAGCCTCTCTGGCCCTTTTGGTAGAGAACTGATCCAAGGATCTCACCCAGCCATTTCCTAGAAGTCAGAGTCTCAGCTTCAACAACATGGCCCAGTAGCTTGTTCCCTTCTCCCACAACTCTTTGGGTGAAGACACGGCCCCTGTTCTTGGGCCTAAATACACTTTTATGTAGTTTCCACCACATTTTTGAAGATTTATGTATATGCTGTGCTCTTTACAATCTATTAGTCTGCGTATAAATACTCCAATGTTTTTTAATCCTTATATACATTATAAAGAAGATAAATGAACGTCTTGATTTTTAAAAACAATATTTACTAAAGTCTTGTTTCAACATATTTAGATACAATCTGTTTAACAGCCCCACAGTGGGGAAATAAATGTCAAGTGCTTTAATGGACATTAATCTTCAAAAGCTCTTGATTCCTACAAGTCATGGGAAACAAATGCCTTTTAAATTCAGTACTCAATTTGTGCCATAAAGTCCTTCAGTCTGCTGGCTGTCAGATTCAACCCATTTCAATCAAAAGATCATGAAATATTACTCCAAAGGCAAACTTTGAAACATTAGAACAGAGAGATCATGCTGACACAGGTTACAAACAGTAAAGGAAACCCTCTTTCTGGAGTCTTTTTTTTCCTCAAAGCAGTTACCATCAAACTGTTATTATTTTACAACTTCAGTTGGGAACGGTCTCTCTAGCCAGTAAACAAATCAGGTAAGATTCAGGTATGGTGAAATTCACAAAAGAAGCTTAGATCCACAGGTCTTAGTTCTACATCTTAACACGGTATTAAGGAAAAAAGTCCTCTTGACCTTGAAACATGACCTGCTGTGGAGGGATGTGATATTACTGAGACACTGGGCCAACAAACTACACTGTATAACTAGAACTTGTGCAGTGAAGGTGCTGTAGCTACATAACTTATTCTTAAAGCAATGGATAAGGGGCTCATGCACCTTAATGCATCCTTACATGAGTTGCAGCTTTTCTATTAACTCATTCGATTCTTAGCATTAGTAAAATAAACTCAACGTATTATTAATAAACGAGCAACTAGCTGATGAAATAAAACCTTTGCTCCGCTAACAAAAAACAGGTATCACACAGACTCAGCATCGCCTCTCTGAAATCAAAATGATTTTAAACAAGCACTGAAACAACCGGCCTGCATTTTTATTCTCCAGCCCCCCTGTTAAGTTTTAAGACGGTGACGGCGGCACCATCTGAGCATTCTCCGTAGGGTGTCCCGTGCCAGTCTGATTCACAGTTTACCACAGATCCAAAATGTGGACTCGATACTGAGATATTAATGAAATCCAGGTCTGACTCCCAGTTAAAGAGGTTAGTCATAGCAGCCTGCAGCAAGAGATATGCTGCTCTACAGCTCTAAAAATCAGCAGTGAAGAAAAATGGGGCTAAACAGCTCTTTAGTGCAGACACAAAGAGGGCAGAATAATGAAAGGCTTTTCAGTAAATCCATCACCCTTGCAGGCTATCAATTATCAGCAGGGGACACCCGTAGCGTCACGAAGGCTTGAGTGGAACACGCACATTGCTTTAGACCACAGCAGAAAACCCAACTCTTACCCAGAACTATAAAGCAATTAAGAAACAAATGAATAAATTCTCGATAACTGTCCTCATGAACCTCTACTCTTGGTTATATACGTAGTTCCAAGCAATCGTTTTGGTCACACCGTACTGCTTTCTAAGTAACAGGCAAATCATATCTAAATAACTTTAAGCGTACCGCCTAAAAATGAGAGAATAACAGCCAGCACAAAAGTTGGGGTGGGTGGGGGATGCTGCACGATTAAATTAGTAAACCCCACACACGTTTAAACAAGGGGACAAATATATATTGCCTTTTTTACCGCATTAAACCTTGAAGAACCGAGGAGGACCATGAGATAGTAGGCATCTGCGTTTCGCGGCGCTAGAGCCCTCTGCTGGGGAGCCGGGAGTCCAGCCTGGAAACTCGACTCCTGCGTTAAGCCCAGCCCCCTCTCCTCATTCCCATTCCCAGATTTAACATGGCTCCTGGCTCCAAGGAGGCTTCCCACAACACAACTTAACGTCTTTTTTTTTTCCCTGTGTAAAACGGACACCCTTTAACGCAGCCAGGTAATTGTCTACGCGTTTTCGGCCTTTTGTTTTTCGACGGAGTCGAAATCGCTGAGGATTAATCCTCGCGGTTCGGCGACCACCGGGGTCCAGCTGCTGAGCAGATTAGGAAAGCGACCTGCGATGCGATGTCTATTCTGTATGCACTTCGTCACACACACTGTTCAGATGTCCTCGTATTGTTAGATCTGAGCTTCAGATGTGTTTTTCAGAAGCTTGAGAGTAGTTGCCAACTATCGATGCAATGTCAGGTCAAACAATATCGGCGCTTCTTTCAAAAAAAAAAAGATAAAGTCGCGTAATAATTACGCACCGCTGCTCGCCTCTCTGTTTACTTCGTGAATCCTTAATTAAAAGGCGCCCGCTGGTTGAGTCGTTTCAACAGAAACGCGTTTAAAAATGAGCTGGAGCACGGATTAGATAGTGGAAGTTATCTTAATTATGTAATTAGAGCTGGACTTTTATATATTATGAGGTGGCGGAAGTTAACGACTTGGCACCCGAACTGGCTTGGTGAGGAACTGGGGGTATTCGAAGAAGTGTGTGTGTGTGGGGGGTCCGTAGAGGTTTTTTTTTACTACTTCAGATCCTGAATTACAGTTCTAGCATCCTAAACATCGGTTTTATATATGTTTTTTTTAAAAGCTTCATGGGGTACGCGGGCGCAAAAATAATAGACTTGAAAGGCAAGACCAGACCCCTCCATCTTCCTCTCCCTTCTCCTCTGCATATACTTTGCAAACCACAAAAAAAAAAGAGGGAGAGCAATAAAAATGACGGTAGTTTCTGGCTGTGAACCCGGGCGGCTGTGGAGGTGACGACGCGAAACTGCGTTTCTAAAACTCCGGGGCGGAGGAGAGAAAGAGCTACCCGGTGCGTCCTATACCCCCCTCTCTCTCGGGGCAACTTGTGGTGCTGGGAGGAGGAGGAGGCGGCCCGGCTCGGCTGGGGGAGGTGCCCTGGGGGGCCACTGACGTGAAAGGCATCGGGAAAGTTGATTTGTTAACAGAAAAGGCTGGGCGTCCGCACGGATTAAACAGAAATAAACTACCGGGGACGGAGAGAAAAAGCCACAGACCCCGCTCTTGTTGTTTATTCGCGAACGTTATCTGCGGGACGGCGGCCGGAGTCCGAAGTCGTCGTCTTTTTTTTTTTCCCTCTCCTCCTTCCTGGGATATGCAGCATCCGCTTTCGCCGCACATCTGTCGCTCAAGCAGGATACCGGCAGAGGAGCCCTTCTCGTTTAAAATTTCTTCCCCTTTCTCGAAGAGATCCAGTTTGGAACGGGAGGAGGAGGAGGAGGAGCAGGAGCAGGAAGGAGTCGCGGAAGAGTGAAGGAAAATTAAAAGCAAAAAAAAAAAACCACACGCAGCAAAACATGGTTTCCAAAACCGGACTGTTTCGCTTCGGAAAAAGAAATCACGGAGAGAACGGAAAGGACAACCCCGCTCTAAAGTAAATGAATGCCGGAATAATCGCTGGAAGGTTATTTTAATGTTGCTGTTCAACTACATACAGGGTTGGTAACCCACTTACTGTACTGTGAAATGCAAGGATATAATTTGCTTTGAAATACGCAGAGCTACATCCCTGGGGTGGGAAACTACGTCCTCGGGGTGCAGTTACCTGGATTCGTTCTATACAAAAAGGTCCATTAGACGTCACGTATAAACGCCTTTTAAAAAATTTCTTTCGATTGATCTGCTGATGCCAGAAGCTCCAGAGTGCCTTCATGGCAGGATCATGAAGTGTTTGACTTTCTTCCTTTTACTTCCAGAAACCTTGAAAAAGTCAAAGAGGAGTGTGAAACACCCCAGCAGGCTGCCAGCATGCTATGAGATCGTTACCCTCTCGCTCAAGGAGAAGATGGCTGCAGAACTGTACCCTGCCAGCGCAAACACCAATATCCCCAACAGCAACGGCACTACGGTGACTGCCCCCAGCAAGAAGAGCGTCGTCCAGGTCTGCCAGGCGGTGACCGCCTCCGCCACTCACGCCACCCAGCAGAACATCAGCAACAACAACGTCGAGGCGGCGAGTTGGCAGTGTTCGCACCCCACGCTCAGAGAGAGGTAACCGCCAGAGCTTGGACCCGGGAGAGACCGAGAATCAGACCCCCCCACCCAACCCAACCCCCGTCCCCCTGTCCCACCGCTGCCTTTTTTTTTTGTGTGTGTGTTGCATTTTCTCCATTTAAAAACCAAAACGCGCGTCTTTAAAACGGAGAAGTAAAACCGAGAAAGTGGGGGGTGCGAGGAGTCCTGTGCGTTTATCCCGGGCCTAGGTGCAGTGCAGATGTAGCCTTAGTTTGACACAGCCCGTAGCATGGAGGGTACCGAGGGCTGAGAGGAAGTGTGGTGTTCAAGAGTCACTGGCGATTCGCAACACATTAAATTGGGGGGGGGTGTGAGAGCTTGTAAGATAGAGGTGTTAGGTTTTGATTTGTTGTGGTTCTCCTTTCCAGGAATGCCTTAATGTTCAACAACGAACTCATGGCGGATGTACATTTTATAGTTGGACCTACAGGTGCCTCGCAAAGAGTGCCTGCACACAAGGTGAGGTTCAGCGTCTTTAAAACCTGAAGGTTTTTTTTTTTACATATATATATATAAGCGTCGAACTACCAACCGGGCGAACTGAACGCGATTTTCTTTTTCTCCCCTCCCTCCCCTTCAGTACGTGCTGGCAGTCGGCAGCTCGGTTTTCTGCGCGATGTTTTATGGCGACCTCGCCGAAGGAAAATCAGAAATTCATATCCCAGACGTGGAACCCGCTGCTTTCCTTATTCTTTTGAAGTAAGTTTCACGGCACCGCTTTGGCTCGACAGCGCGGTGGAGCTGGGGATATAAATGTACCGCTGGTGCCCCGCCATTTCTGTTTTTGAGCCCTTCTAGGGCCACGACCTTGCGGTAAAGAAACGATCCGTTAAAATTACGCGGGAGGTAAGCGGCTCTTTTTTTTTTCTCCTTCTCGTCTCAGATACATGTACAGCGATGAAATTGACCTGGAAGCTGACACGGTGCTGGCCACTCTGTATGCTGCCAAGAAATACATCGTACCGGCTCTGGCCAAGGCGTGTGTGAATTTCCTGGAGACCAGCCTGGAGGCCAAGAACGCCTGCGTGCTGCTGTCCCAGAGCAGGCTGTTTGAGGAGCCCGAGCTGACCCAGCGCTGCTGGGAGGTCATCGACGCCCAGGCCGAGCTGGCGCTCAAATCCGAGGGCTTCTGCGAAATCGACCAGCAGACCCTGGAGATCATCCTGACGCGGGAGACGCTGAACACGAAGGAGGCGGTGGTCTTCGAGGCCGTTCTGAGCTGGGCGGTGGCCGAGTGCAAGAGGCAGGGGCTGGGCGTCACCACGCGGAACAAGCGCGGCGTGCTGGGCAAGGCCCTGTACCTGGTGAGGATACCCACCATGACGCTGGAGGAGTTCGCCAACGGGGCGGCCCAGTCGGACATCCTGACGCTGGAAGAGACGCACAGCATCTTCCTGTGGTACACGGCCTCCAACAAGCCCAAGTTGGAGTTCCCGCTGACCAAGAGGAAAGGCCTGGCGCCGCAGAGGTGCCACAGGTTCCAGTCCTCCGCCTACCGCAGCAACCAGTGGAGATACCGCGGGCGCTGCGACAGCATCCAGTTCGCCGTGGACAAGCGCATCTTCATCGCGGGGCTGGGGCTGTACGGCTCCAGCGGCGGGAAGGCCGAGTACAGCGTCAAGATCGAGCTCAAGCGCCAGGGGGCCACGCTGGCCCAGAACCTGACCAAGTTCGTTTCGGACGGCTCGAGCAGCACCTTCCCCGTGTGGTTCGAGCACCCCGTGCAGGTGGAGCACGACACCTTCTACACGGTCAGCGCCATCTTGGACGGCAACGAGCTGAGCTATTTTGGGCAGGAGGGGATGACGGAGGTTCAGTGCGGGAAAGTGACGTTCCAGTTCCAGTGCTCTTCGGACAGCACCAACGGCACGGGCGTGCAGGGGGGGCAGATACCCGAACTCGTCTTCTACGCATGAGCTCCACACCCGCCTCTTAACTGCATTCCACTACTGCTAGTCAAGCACATGGAAGAGTCCAGCAAACTCTGCCTTCTAATAATGTAGCAACGAGGAATACGCGACACTAAAAGCCTGTTAGCTGTTCGACAGACTGTCCAACCTTAAGTGAAGGAATGCTCTTCGGATTTATTTATTAAAACGGTTGACTTAATTATTAATACTGCAGCATGCAGTTGTCTGTAAAAAAAAAAAAAATAATTGTATGGCACTGCCAGCGGGCGATTGCCTGTAGTGCTTTGTGGTTTTGTACATAAAAATAATGCTGTTTTGTTTACAGCTTGAAGCTGATCAACAAACAAAGTTCTGTATTAGAGCGCAGCTTACTTAATCTGCAGATTATATAAAAAGAAGGTTTGTGACTAAAATTTCAGGTGTTATTGCTTTTTATAACCGCAGGGATGGAAAACACTAAGGCAAAGCAAGAAATTTTAGAATCCACGAATTGGCGCATTATAAACCCATGCAAACAGGTTATAAGCAGAGGTTTGATTGTCATGTCTAAGGACAACAAACAAACGTGATATAAAATGCAAAAAGACTACTTTCAAACCAAGGAGACGACGAGAAGAGATAAGGAGAAAACAGTAGCTAAAATACAACTCGGAAATTTCATGGCAATGTATAAATTGAAGGTCTTGAATATACAGGAAACAGAGATGGTAAACCTTAAAGACCATTTCCTTACAGAGAAGTCCCAGTGTAGGACACTAAGGACCTGAATTTCCAGACAGTTACATAGTGCCCTCTAGCCAGCATCCACTGTACTACAAGTCAATAGAGAGTACACACCAACCACCCCCTTTCACCATTACCTTTATTACATTATCTCAAGTTTCATATTAGAAATTAGATTTTTGGCCCTAGCGCATATACTTCAAATTGATCAAACATCATCTGAGAAAGCCTTCCCCTGTTTCATTTAAGGGACCTTTAAATAAAAATCCTTTTGGACGGGGTTGTAAGACCATCGGAAGAGATTTTCACTATTGTAAAATAAACCTTTTACACAGCCATGGTCACTCAAAATGTAAGAGAACATACAGATTATGTAAATATAACATTACCTATTGCTGGAGCATTAATGCAGAGCTCTCTGGCCAGCAGAAGGAATGTTTTTCCTAAAACGTACACATTCACCTGTAGGGAGATAGTAAAGAAAAGACATTTAATGAGCAAATCTGCATGTTTTTCTCACCAAGCCAAGACGGCTTATCTACTGCATGTGTTGCCTGGGGAAAATGAAGTTCTTGTAATAGTTCTCCAATAGCATAACAGAACCAAGAGCAAATGCACTCACAGGGATTCCCAGCTGGTTACACTAGAAGTAGGAGGAATTCTATTTTGGAGTGGGCTGTGAAATTGAAAATTACCCTACGGTAACCAAAAGAGGCTTTCTTTTCTATGTATTCCTGATGTTGACCAGAATGGTACAAAGCAGCACTGACAGGGTTTTTTTTCTTCCCCCGATTGGGTCATCAGCCACCGCAGGGTGACGCTGGAGTTCTCAGGGTGCTGGCATTCCTGTCCTAATCCCACCCGGACATGAATGGAGACCTTTGGGAATACAGAGGTCATAACCCTGGAGTTTTGCTTCTTTCAAGCAGTCGCAATGCCCATATTAAAATGCCACTGGACAATACTCTGTGGGCTTTGTAGGTTTCCAGTCACTGAGGATTTGTGGAGTATTTATGGTCTATATATGAAGTTTGAGCTACTTGGCTACAATGAAGGATGCATTTCAATCCAAATACCAGAGTCAAAGGGAGCTGCTTTCTGTGGGACAGCTGGGAGTATAAAAATAAACTAGGCACCAGCTGTGGTTTTTTTAAAAATGTCCCAGTGCTGAATTATTCAAATTTTAAATTCAAACAAATGTAAACCCAATTATATACATTCGCAGCTGCCATTACACAAGCACAACCCATTCGTGAAAATAATTTTTCTGATATGGATATATGGCCAGATTCACACCCGCAAATGTACGACAACGCAGATGTAACAAATCAGAAAATGTCCATATTAAAGCAGCAAGATATATTGATCTAGTTAATGTAATAGAGCCATGAATATAAATAAGCTTAAATAAGTTCTTTTCCCGTTTCTCACCGCTAGATAGCAGGATCGCCTACAGGCTTCTAATTACATTCATTGCAAATACACGTAATCGCTGCCAACATACTGGGGAAGCCTGGCAGTGGATTATAAGTGTCAAACTCTGATAGATAAAATGCTGCAAAGACCGTGTCTTAAGAGTTCAACCCCCTCATAGCTGGTTTACAATGATGGATACTCCTTGATGCTGCTGTATCAACACCAAAGGGGCAGACGAGTTAGAGTAAGGCAGAAAATAAGGTAATTGAATGAGACTGGAGAGATTACATGCTGATATATCTGAAACTACATGAAATGTAGATGCTCAATTGCAATGGCAGACAGAGTAAAATCATCAAAAACAAGTGCACTTACAATCTGTCGTAATAAAGAATTTCACTGGAAGAACATTTAAAGGGGGAGATTCAGATGGAAAGCAGCTGTATGGTCAGTTAAAAGCCATGGGGGATCACAGACTACTTTTTAGTAATCATCATTAAATGTGTATCCATGGGGGGGGAAAAACAATTCTAGCATGATTAAAAACAAAGGAAAAAGAAACATTACAGGACAGTGCAGTTGCACATGGGGTGACCAGTTTAGGTCGTTTGTGTCCTGATCACTTTTGCGATACAAGAATTTTTTGGTTCTTGGATCACTACTTGAAAAGGAGGATTCAAATGTTATCCTCTCATCTGTAACCAGTTATATTACACATAACGTCCAACACTGCTTGTCATCTGAACAAAATAAGCAATAAAAAACATTTACCTGCAAAAGATCACTGAGGTCAAGAAGCATATCTGTAGGGTGGTTAAAGAAAAAGTCATTTCTTCTTAAACAATTTCACTTTTCATTTTCAAGTACAAGGGTAAAGATTCTTCTCTGCAGATCTGTGGTTTAGATACCTTTTGATTCATTCAACAACCAACAGTCCTCAGTTGCCACTAACGCACAATGTTATTCAATAATCATAGATCATTATAGATCATAATTGTTCCTTAAACAGCAAAGTTACTTTAAAACTCACATAAAAATGTCCAAAGATTTCCTTGCACAAACTCCTACAACATAATTTGTTCTTTAAACATTCTCCCCACTGAATGCCTCCCCAACCACACCACATAGAACCTGCACAAGAACAAAAAGGAATTAGATATGCAGGTATGCATCTATAGTCTTGGGTATTAATGTTCTGGGTGAAAGCCAAACAAAAAGGCAATGCTTTTGCAGAAAACAAGAGCACTCATCACAGAAATCCTTTCCTCAGTTGACAAACACCATTCCTCCAAGAAAAGAAAACATTGCCCAAACAAGAACTGTATTTTTTCTGAGAAACTGCGAACTTGTGGCCTCAAATAAATGCAAGATTATTAGCGTTTATAAGTCATAAGTGAAAAGCAAAGGCAACAACATTCATGAAAACAGAAGGAAAGACTTTAGAACACTGACCTTTTGGGGTCGAAGTTGGAAATAAGAAGTCAGTGTCAGACATTTAGATATGTACGCACATTCAACATCTGCATTGTTTACATCTTTTATGTGCCTATTCTTTCCGAGAAAGTAAAAGGTAACCTTGAATAACTAGCTGGATTGGTCCAACAAGAAAGGCATACATATATACCAGAATATCCCCACCTAATCTTCAAGTAGGGCTTTAAATGCTTTTAAAGGCAAGAGAACATACTAATTCTTTCTTTGACCATGATTTGATAGGCACTAGTGGCTCCAATATGAAAGTCAAGAACAGAAACCTGTCCACCGTCGTTCTTCTCAACATTTCAACAAGCTAAGGAAAAAAGGTTATAATGATAATAACAATATTTCCTTACTCCGATATAGCAACTGTCTGAACAATCCCCTCAAAATGCTTTACAAGTGTAGGGGACTCCCCTCCACCACCATCAATGTGTAGCACCCATCTGGGTGATGCAACAGCAGTCAAAGTGTGCCAGTACGACTACCACACATCGGCTATCTGTGTGGAGGGGAGCAGAGTAATGAAGCTAATTAGTAGTGGGGATTGTGGGATTGTTGGCCAGGTACAGGCCAGGACACCAGGGTTAGATCTGAGCATGATCCGCATCTTCAAGGGACAGTATATGCACTGGCACTGTAGCTGAAAAAACAGCAAAGCCCAACTGCATAACGAGTTTTAAAGGTAACTTCACAGCAGAAATGTACAGAGATTTTACAAAAAGACTAAAATAAAAAATATATATTCAGAGTATTACTAATGCATAAACTTAGGTTTTATAGCAGTGGTCAATAATAAATCAAAGAGAGAAACAATTTATTTTCAATCCCCCCAAATTAGTTTAATAGCAGGATACAATTATTTAAAATCAGAATAAAAAGTATATTTCTTTTACCAGTACTACCAGACCTCCCAAAGTCAGTACCCATACTACTTGTTAATAATAACCACATGCATCGTATCCTAATGAGAATTATTTGTATACCTTTCCATATGAACAGCACCAGTAGCCAATTACTTCCTTTTTCACTGTAACTTTCAATTGTGATTTAGATGTTTGGGAAACATATTTGCATTTTTTCCTTTCCCAGCTATCCTCTCCACTTCAATAATTACTAGAAAAAACACCCCGTTCTTAAATTCCATTAAATTTCTAGTTCTCTACAGTGTTGAAAAAAAGATGAGATTCTTCAGCACAGTCCCTGCAGAATATCTCATTTAAATTAGCTAAATTTCCTGTGCATTTAGGCAGCTACCATTACACCCTGTTAGGAGTATCTGATAAAAAAACGTTCTGAAATACTGTCAGCTTCAAGTTATGACCTCCGTGGTACTTTAAAATTTTCTCCAGCTGGTGGGTTCCAGGATGAGGAAGTCAGTGAAGCTATATATAATTTGCCTTTAGGGAATCAGGCACAGTAAACAATATGCTGAGAAAGGTTAGTTCCACCCTTTCCCCATATTAACCTCTTCAACAACACAGTCCTGGTTTACCATTAAATTATGCCCGCCAGACAATAATATTTTTAAATATTTTTTCTCCCAACATGCTTGCAATAGAAACCAAGAGCATTTTCAGCCAAAAGTGTTTACATCTACTCAAGGAGGCTTTAAATTTAACAAACTATTGTCAGATGAAGCCCAAACAAATCAGACAAGTAAAAATGAGGCAGTAGGTTCAAATGAAAAACAATTAAAAAAAAAAGGCAGTACAGTTTCTGAACATTTAAAGACTCCCTAAAGAGCATGCAATTAAAAACCGGGCCACATTTAATCTTTTTAGATTCAATTTTAATTTTTAGATTTTGTAGACACCAAATGGACACATTGAAAATAAACATACCATGAAACAAAATATGCTGACATTTCTTTTACCGAAAATTGAGGTTAAGAATGCCCATTTACAGAATGGTTTGTCTTGCAGGACTCCTGCATTCAAAGTAATGCAGTTTACAGAGCTCGTATGAAACTTTTGCTGTGGTTTGAAGTTCTTTTTTTAAGATCTAATTAATATAAAAGTCAAATCAAGCTTCGTCATTAGGATTCAAAACCGAAGAAGATCTGAATATTGAAAAGCTCATTGTGCTGCTCGTGTTTTATGGTTATCAACAGTAGTTGCAGCTGGCAGCAATAACAGAGAAGAGTCCCCCCCCTTTCTGTGCTGGGAGTGGCTCTAGATCTTGCTGACAAGCTGCCAGACTTCCTTTCAGCACGGATTAAAAATAATTGAATTGACTAAAACCTTCCTAACCCCCAGGGTGAAGCACACCCTTCCAAATTTCCGTGTTGTGTCGAGGCTCCAGAGAGCAGCACAGCCCTCCTCCCATCCCTGCTGTTTACCACACACAGAAGGGATACCTGCAGTACAGCACCTGCCTCTCCTTGCGAAGAGGTGACCGTTTCATCAGTCACGCATGACCAGGATGCAGAACGTCAAAACCCTGCGACCTGCTGCCTCCACCGATTTCATCAACACCCAAAGCCTGCTGCGGATTTCTCGCCTCACCAATTGCTTCTGCTGATGTTTACGTCCACAATGGGTTTTTAACTTCTAGGTACAGCATAACAAAGCCTCTACCGACAACCGTTCACAAACTATTCGGCCACTTTACTCCAGGCTCGTCATTCTGGCGGCAACACAACTGAGATGCTGAGAAATCGAGGTCCTGCTGTAACTGACACTGAGAGGGGTTTACATGGCTCAAGCAACTGGGCAGGGGGTTAGGGTCAAAGGTTAAGAAGAGAGGCTCATAACAGTTTGTGAAAACCCAGGGTTGTAAGGGAGCTCATACAGTTATAGCTGACAAAATCAAGTCACGGCAAGAGAGAGGATCACTGGGTATCACCGAAGGCCAGGGATTTGGTCCTGGAGGGATGGCGGCTTTATGTTTCGACATGGGAAACTTTGGGCTATGGCCTTCCAGAGTAGGAAATCCTCTTGGATTTGGGACCTGAACTAGGATTTGTGGAGGCTCCTCTCCTCAAGCTACCCTTAAGAGTTAAGTCTGCTAGTAGGATCATTATCACGGCCCATGTCTTGCCAGCCTCTATATCAATGGTGCATATCTATATCAATGGGAAAGCAGAGCACCCACACTTACACCCATCTGGATCAGTACCAGATCCCACAATCGGTTCACATATCGAAATGGTGCTACTGAAATACGGGAACGCTGCCCCCAATTTGATTCGGTTCAAAGTCCGTTCCACCAATGAAAACCAAACTTCATATTTCACATCCTGTGGTTTTAAACAACTATGACTTTTTTTACAATGGTATTCCTGCATTAATCAACAAGAAAGCCTGACAGTGGCGCTACTCTGAAATTTCAAAATGTCTCAACTTGAAAAACGGTCCGAGAAATAAACTCCAAAAAGGCCTTTGACATCACAAACTAAAATGTTCTACAATAAGAACCTACAAGTTCATAAATGAAAAGATGAAAGTTCAGTTTATATGCACACGTCAGAGATGACATCCTGCTGAAGGCCATGAGGTCCACACACGTCAATAAAGATGACCGAAAAGAGAGGAAATCGATTTCCAAATCGAGCACAATGGTGATTGGATTAATTCAGCATCTCACCTCTTCATTGCTAAGCCCCAAACCCCGAGTTCTGTTTCATTTCTTACTTCCAGCTTTTGCAAAGCATATGACAAAGAAATACAAAGGGATTAAGGCAATCAAGACCTGGACTCTTATCTAAGATGAAAGAAAGCTTCATAAAGCAATATGCCCAAGACAAATGGTAACTGTACTGTTTCTGGATTTAAAACCACCGTCGTTTTCTGGAATCCTCAAAATGTGACATTGTCTCACCATGAATAAATAATTATGTACATATATACCACAACCCATTTTTGTACTTGGAGGTCCTATGTCTGAACAGAAAACAAAAGTGCCTGTTGTTACTAATTGAGAAAAGGCACCAGTCCGACTCAGAAACGCCACTCACTTGCAGCTGGAGATCAAGGTGTCTGATACCAGCAGCAGGAAGGTACACGCTGGCCATGTAAACCATGCCCACAATCAAGGCGTGTTGCCGGAGTCACCAGGAAAGGATACGCGGAGTGCCCTCTGTCCTGCACACCAGGTAGAGGCAGGCCGCGATCACGTGCATCATCTTCCGGCCACGCGTCAGGTGCTTGCTCACGGCCATCTTGAAGAAGTTGAAGGCCGTGTCCATGCAATGCTGATTCAGCTGCAGCTGGTGCCCCAGGTTGTGGATCTGCCGTTTTCCTGGGACAAAAGTGGGAAAACGTTCATACGGGAAAAGTGACGCTTTCGAGTAAGAAAAAAAACTCGGGAGAGGGTTTCTTCACCGCATTGCCAACACAACTGGAACGAAAACAGACTTTCGTTTAGATCTTTAGAGCACTTATCTTCACTCAGATCGAAACGATACTTGCAGAAAATGTTTAAGTTTGATTTGTTGGAAATATTCCGATTGTTTAGTCTCAGCCCAATAGGAGAGAGAATTTTATTTTTACCTAAAAAGAGGTTAAAAAGAATTTTAACACTCCACGTGTTAATGTGTTTTTAGAAGCATCAAGTATGTGGATCTTGGATACTAATCCTACTTTCTGGCACCATTCTGACTGGCTGCGCTACACTCGAGTGGCTCCAGCTGTTGCTCCAGCTCCAGACCAACTTGGGCACCAGCAATGAGGCGCGTTAACCTGTTGGAGGTTAATCTTGATGGAAATCAAGAAGAACTTATATTTATTTATGGTATGTTGAAGGCAACAGTTTCTATTCTGATAGGACATTACAGCCAAACACAGTCCACAACAGATGCGCTGCGATCTGGAGTTCTCCAAGGTCAACATCACATCATCCAACTGCGACGGCCTGGGAAACAGTGTATTGCAGCTACAAAAACCTGTGTGCTGTAAACGAGGTCAGCTTGACTGCACAGCGCTGCACTGATCAAGTCCAGGGACTCGCTGCTATTCGTCCGGGCTCATTCCGACATCACACTCGGGGTGGACAGTGTTATACTGCAGATGCCTTACTAACCACCACTGAACGTTCACAAGATGAACTGGGACGAAGTGGCGTCTAGGATTCAGAGACCAGTGAACGTGCTTGTTCAGGCTCAGAATCTCATGAGGCACCATCTCCAACCTGGTGCCACAGATGTTCAGCTTGTAGCTCTTGCAAAGCTGGACACATACCACGAGACTGGAACCTTCACGGCAGAGCCACTGTTGCACAGCTCTAGTGATGACATATTTTAAGCTGGATAATGAATTTACCAACGTCATGTCCATTCAATTAAATGTCAATACAGCCACTACACAATACTGTCATTTTCCTGATAAGTTCTTGAATTCATTGCAGTTTCATTTCATTCCCAGTATATAAGCTGATTGAGTAAATTATAAAAGGGCAACCCAGATCCGGGTTTCCACTGTTTCGCTATTGAGATTCCAGTATTACTAGTACTACAGCCTTTTCCCAGCACATACATCTCCATTTCCACCCCATATGAAACCACATGGATCCCATACAAAAACTAAAGCAAGAACATGTCCTCTCTCCATTCTTGTCGCTTTTTAATCAGCCCATACTTTGAATTTCATACACCAAAAACAAACCATATGCCAAATAAGCAATGCACAAATGCTTCTACTCTAACGTTACATTATGAACACCGAAAGCTTTGGTAGGTGCAATATTGTATGCAGAAAGAAAGTCCCTTGAGAGTCGAGACTATTGCTTTCTTATATAGGAAAAAAAATCCCAAAAGATGTAACCTCCATCAGAATGTTAGCAATGCACATTTATCACTGAACTAACAATACAGTCTATGATTATAGTGGAAATTAAAGCAATGAATCAAAGGCACTACAACACTGACTTCCTCTTTGGAACTACGTACCGTACATCTTTTTAATGCTAGATGCCAGATCAGTGCACACATGCTGTGCAATCACAGGAAAAATCTAACAGCCAACATGGAAACAGCTTTAGGGATGGACGTATGATAAGATGCAAAACCAGAAATAACACACAAAGCTTTTAAGAGCATAATGTTTCCATTTGGAGCTCCTACACCAGACTTCTTTCCAAACTCTTGGAACAGTAATCCCAAGTCTGTTAAATCCGTACAGGAAGATTATACTACAGGTGCACATTTAGCCCTGCGAGTATGAGCGACATCCTCATTGCATAACGTTATTAGGCAAATATCACTGCTGTAGTTTCAGCAACTCTCTTGTCACATGCAACGTCCCTCACAATGAAGATGCAGTTAACACTGGTATTACGTACCAAATAATACAAAAGGAACTGAAAGTACATTTCGATTTAGATGCAAGTGAAATGTGAGCCTGTCAACCTCATAAATGTCCGTTTTAAAATACATGAATTAATCTTTATTTAAACAATTCATACAGTCCCAAAATAAAAAAGTACTTAAGACAGTAAGTGAAAATTCTCATCAGCCCAGGCACTTGATAAAAAGTGGTTCAAGTAGGGAGCTGCGTCAGCATGCTCAGGCTGCAAAGGAACAAGTAAAGGTATATTCCAGGCTGCAAAGAGAAGAAAAGAAACAACGTTCTGGCTGTGGAGTCTTCTCCGAGTGTCTTCTCTTTTCAGCAGTTAATATAAAGCTTTACTGAGCAATATACACTGATGTACCACTCAGGACTTATTCATTTAATCAAATATAAACAATAACACAGGTCCACGTTATCTGACTGAAACATGACACGCTATCAAAATAAAAAATTAATGAAGTGAGTGTCTGGTATAACCTCCTCAAACACAAACACAACCCTGGCAGCACTGACACACAGAACCGAACAGCCTCTCATCTCTAATGTTGTGCCACTCCTCCTGCACAGCTGTACCTAACTGGTCAGCCGGTGTCCAGCTGACGGTATTGACAAACATCCACAGATTGGGCTACAGAACTCTGGTCAGAAGCTGTTCCATTCCGGGACCTGAAGTTGTGCCACTGTAATAGATAGATAGATACTTTATTGATCCCGTGAGGGAAATTGTAATCCTAGCACTGTAGTTTTGCATTGTCCTGCTGAAAAACAAAAATCTCAAAATTCCTAGACTGGCTTGTAGGAATGGAAAGATTGTTGGCTCAAGGACTTTTGTAATGTGTGATTTTAAAGCTTTTTCACCCAAGGCACTCTTGTGTTAAAGGTGCCTAGAGCCCCCTTGCCATCTCACGTTTCTGTAACAGTTCACCAGAACATCGTTTTCCCATCAGGTCTGTTAAGGCCAAAAGGACGTTTGGCTGAAAATTAAACACTCCACTACTCTCTCAGCTGCCACCTCAGATGTTCTTTGACCCACAGAAGACTCTTTAAATTTTGTCTCTCAGCCATGAATGTTACTGTCCATGACTCCAAGACGTGTTACGACCGAATGACCCGCTAACACACTGATTGTATCCATTCAGATAGCGAGCTATGGGCATTTTTACAACGAGTGGGTTATTTACCCAAGGGATTTTCATGCTGCAGCCACCACAGTCTAAAAAAAATAGAAAATTGGCTATTTCCGACCCTCTGCCTTCTTAGTCATCGTATATCCCTTATAGAGCTTGTTTCTTCAAGCTGATTGGTGAAGCACAACATCTAATTCTCCAGGAAATGTCTCCCGCAGATAATCTGTCTTTGATCGCGCTCATCGTGATATTCTTTACCCTTCTGAGAATAAAACTCTGGGAATTATACAAATGCCATTTAGAGATCTCAACCATTTGCATGTACTCTGGTCTCCTGCATGTCTAATATGCACTGGTTTACTGTGCTACAATAAACATATCTGTCGGCTAGCACCTGATTCCAACCAGATCTTACAGACAAGAAATAAATATCAACAAGCTTGCATCATAGTATTTGACCTTTTATTAAGGTATTTACAATACCCAAGGCACACCCACTGCATATTTCCAATGGACACTGCCTTAATACTGCTTCTTAACTGAGTACACTAAATAGCTTTTGCAGCTGGGCATGGTTCTCTTGCAAATGTCTGCCTATATACTTCAAAGCAAAAGACCAGGTAACCACAAAGGATTAATGAATCAAGACTTTTCAAATAAACTAGACTGTGGGTGGACACTCATCATTATAGCACTACCATTAGAGGGTTCTTCTCTCCTTTCCCAGTAAAATCTGCTTTTCAGAGGCCTTTTTTATTAGTCTGCTTGCTCTGACATTCAATAACAAATCACATTAACGTCTCTTCTTGGAAACCTCAGCAATATAGCAGCAGACTCCTTACATTAAGCATTAACTCTAGAAGTTTCATTAAAAAAAAGAAAATAAGTAATAACAATTGCATGACTCATCTTATATAGCCTTTCCATTTAATGAGCAGCCAAACTACACTTTATGAAATTTGTCCATCTTCACATACCTCACTGAAAAGGGTATTTAATCTGTCATGGTGTAATATTATGCTAGGTGTAGGGGAATGAATGAAAAAAAAATAATGTACAAAAATATCCGCTGACTGTCTTGATTTAACAAGATTGTTTACAAGGCAGTAAAGGGAAAAAAAGAGCTGAAGTAAATAATGTATGTGGATTGTAAGATGACCAGGGGAAGGGTCATTTATAACCGCTATTTCTGGAATGAAACACTTAATATACTTGATATAGACCTGAGCAAGATGGCCGCCAAGGAGAACCAGCTGACCCGCTTTTGGAAAAGGCCTATGCAGCGAAACAATGAGACACAGGTGAGCTACATCAGGAAACAAAATATAAATGACCCTTCCCCAGGTCATTTTACAGGATTTAAAGGCAGGCACTCATCAAGATGGGATTATCAGGCCCATAAAGTTGTACTTGTACTTGACACAGCTAGCAGGAGGTTAATGGAGGAGGCACAATGACCAGAACACACAGCTTTGTCACCACGTGCCCTTTGGTGTTTCTCCATGCTAACCATTTGCACACTCCAGGGAAAAAAAAAGTTCCTATTTAATTCATACAACTACTTTAGACTGATTGACAGCAGATGCCCTGCAGTCAGTGCACTGTCTTACTCTGCTTTGTTTGTCAGGATAGGAGAAACCTAAACACACAGAACAGCGGAACAAATAAAATACAAACCGTGCACAATACTGGGTCACACTGAGTTAAAACTGCCTTCAGGAAGTTAACCAATGGAGACAGAAGATCTGTTAATAAACTGCACCAAGGGTGACTGCTACCTCACAGTCGTGCTGCAACTAACGTTACTTTTAACATACTTAAGTCACTATCTTAACATTACACTATGGAAACTCTAACGGGCCTAAGCAGGGAAGATTTGGTTAATCTGACATACCGTTCTGTAAAGTCTGTGCTCTGGACTCCTTCCCCAGACTAGTGTGGAACCCTGTTCCCAGGACTGGCGCCTTCCCGGAACCTGAAAAGGCAGAAGAGTGTCACTGTACTTTGAATGTGTTTTGCAAACAGGTCTTGAAATGACCGGGTAGAATCCACGGATGACAACTGATACTTGTCAGAATTAAAAAAGATGCTGCAACTTACAAAAACTTTCAACTTTAAACCACCTTTTATAATGAGAATATGAAAGGACTGTAACCACTTAAGTTTAGTAAACATAATCCAGCTTCTCAAAACATTTCCTCAAGAGATCAGCATTTGAATATCACTTATTTGCAAAGTGGTTGCCATGACAGCACTAGTTCTTGACTTCTCTGGGGCAGCAAATCAACCTGTGGTACAGACACCTGTACTGGTACATTAATTTGGTCGTGTTAAAAGTTAAAAAGTTTCATCCTTCTCTACCATAGCCCTGACTATGACTAACTCACCCTTTCACATCTTTATTACCCTGATACTGAATGTGGTAAGGTCATGTTCACTCATTTTAATGATTTTTCTTGATGAAAATGAACTGTTGAATGAGAACCACACCCTCTGAAGGAAGATCTCACTGATACTCTTGAAAACAGCTTCTTGCAAAAGATGCACGACAAAGTCACTTTTCTGTTGTTATTTACTGTTATTAACAATACAATACTCTCCCAGTCCTGTGTAATTTAGTTAGCTTTAAAACACAGACTGAAATAGGAAAGCCCTACTTTTTCTTCCAAAGATAAGAAACAAACAGCTTTTGTTAAAAAAAAAGATCATTTGCTTTCTTAAAGCCAAGCTGTCTAGGCAGGGAAAGAGAAGTCTTTATTAAAACAAAGATTATCGGCAACAAGTAATAAAACAAAGACTGTGACGTGTGAAATGTGCTTGCTTTAGCACATGCAACATGAATACAAAACTTTCATGTTAAGGAAACGTTTGTCTGCAACTCTCTACACCAATAAATTAGCAAAGAACTGGTCTTTTTGCCAATTCAGAAACTGAAAATAAATGGTCCTGGGTTTTTCTTTTTCGATCAGAAACAATTCCATCTCACCCCAAAACCCATGTTCAGGTAATCAGAGGAATTCGAAAGAGACTCACACAGCCCTTCTGACAATCCCAAGACAGAATCCTCATTTCAAAGCTTTTTGTTCGGCACAACCTGAAAGCGTGATTAATTAGCACTGTACAGTATGTCTGATGTCTTGGTGTTTGATAAGACTGACTGTCTTGCTGGGTCACTTTATCCATCAGTTAATTAGCAACAAAAATCAATCTGTATTGGTTTAACGTCATAGAAAGAACAAAACTAGGCTTGAGGGATTTGTCTTATGCATTATCGCAATTAAAGCAGATAAACTTGATCTGTGGTTGTGACATTCTGATTGGTTCTTTCGTCTTCATCTCGACTCAGACATCCACTGTGTGCTGTGCCAGTTCCCAGTCCTCAACCCATAACACCGCACACTCACTCATTTATTTTCTTGGTCAATACTTCCTCAATCGGAAAAAGAACAGCAGCACCTTCTAGTGTGCTTAACACTGTACTGCACCCAGTTGAGCAAACCTTTACTGAAAATAACTACAATAATTAACTATAATAACTGTAATATAACTATAATAACTTTATAGAACAAATACTTTACAAGTCCAGATCAGTTATAATTACACTTCTGATACATTTTACAATTTATAAATTACTTTAGGATCTGAGAGTTTGGTTGAGGAAGCAGAAAATAATTTGTACAAGAATAAACATTTTGGTGTAGGACTGGACCAGTGTTCCCAAAGAACAGATTTATTATTAAAAAATATGACCTCAAAGGACTGAGCTTGTTTCCAACAGAAATTTACATTAGAAGTAAAAGCATCCACCCTCATGTGATTACAGTGGAGTGTGCATATATTTCTTACAGGAAGACTGCCCCCTGCTGCTTAATCAGTAATATTAAAGAAATAAAATAAATATCCGTAAATACATTCATAATTAAAATTCCTTCAAGAGTCACTGTAACCCACGACCCCCTCAGTTACACAGGGCACAAGGAGGGACTTCTGTCCTGGCCAGGGTACCAGTCCATCCCAAGAGACACACCCAAACTAACTTAGAGACATCAGTTAAAGCGCTGTCCCAATTACTCAGACCCATTATTCAATCTCAGTACCAAAATAAATTAGTTAACAATACAGAAATAAAATCGATTCAACACAGAATTGTGAACTTTGTGAAAATATTGTAAGTCGCCATGGTGTCACAGACCCATGGAAAAGAGCGAGAGTTTGCGCGAATTGTGACGTGATGTGGCCCTTCCTGCTCACTAGTCCCTGTAATAAATAATGTACTGTGATGTACTGTGATGTAATAGCAAATAGGTGCAGGTTGTGCGGCAGACAATTCAGCACAGAAATGTTCTGATGTGATCTGCATGCAGAGTTAACAAGTAGTTTTTGTTGGCAAAACGGTGTCGAAGTCAAGAGCAGTATTTCTTTTGAATTAAAAGAGATGTGTTCACAAGCTATTATGCTGTATTAACAAATCCTATCATGCTTGTTTACAATGTAATAGGGCCACATCACGACACTGGACGTTTTGTTACCTCATTCTGTATTGCAGAATATGGCATTTTGCATGCCTGGAAATTTAAATATATATATATTTTGTGATGTAAAATTTTTTACAAGTTATTGAGCACATTTTACTTCTAATGTGGACTGAAATGCACTTGTCTAACCCCGAAACAGCATTGCAGTTTCCCTTTAACGTGGCCAGCACTCCAGTATCTGAATGGTGGAGAACAAAGTGATGCACATCTGAGGATAATATGCAAAGTCCACACAAAAAGCACGTCTGTCTGGAATCAAACCCAGGACCCAAGAGCTGTGGGGTAGCAGAGCTAAATGTTAATGCCACCTTGTCACCTTTTTAATTTTAAAAATACTGTCAGCTAACGGGAACCACCAGTTATTCTTGATTTTCCCACATTTCACTTTTTCCTTCTTAAGTCTGTATGTGAAGCACAGCTGTTCCAAAGAAACTTGCTTAAATGGATTTAGTATGTTCCTGAATGACATTCACATGCAGACGGGATAAGAAATGAGTTCAAATTAGTCAAGAATGTACACCAAAAGAAATTAAAGAATGATCCTACACTCTTTGTACTCAGACTATATGGTTTAAAAACAATGGATTCAAAGGTTCATCTTTAAAATAGGTGTTAAACAGGTTTCCTTTCTTTTTGTGCAAGAAGTGACACAGTTTGAAACATTTTTAAAGAAAACTGACCAAAAATCTGAATTCATACAGAAGGTGTAACTTTCACTTCCCCTGAAAACTCAAGACTAGAAAGATCCTTATTTGAATTAACAACATTACTACAGTATTTGGGGACGTCCTTAAAGAGTTTGGGTTTCACAGTACTGCGCAACCTGGATAAATCCTTAAAACACTTTTTTAAAACACTATCTCCATCTGTTACAAAGATGACATCATCACTGCTTATCAGGTTCAGCCACACTGATGCTCTGACATCACACACTCAGCTACTACCCCTCCCTACAGATTGCATTGGCTGTATCTTTGCAGGACAAAACACTAAATAACTTCATGAGCATAGACACTTTCATGAAGGGAGATACTATAGGCAACTGCATTACCTATTAAAGTTTTATGAAATATTGAAAACTATGCTCTTGCCTTATAAAGGGAAAACCTCTAATATAAAGGTACTTGGGGAAATGATTTGTCCATTTGAATTTTATTAAGCTAAATTTCCATTTGAAATCTAAAATGAAGGGAAAACTTAACTATGCATTTTCCCCCACCCATAGAGGCACATTTGCTTTAATTTTCCTGTACGATACCTGTATAGTATACTAAACTCCTATGTTCTATGTTGATGCCAAACGTTTAATACATCAAGCAATTCAGCATCATATCTTTAACCGGTATATAACACAGTTACACTTTATTACAGACTTGGATACCGACTCACATTTATCAAATCATTTATTTGCATTAAATGCTAGCTTCCAATTAATTCATTACAAATTTAGATATTATAATTTTATTATTATTAATAATAATAATAATAATAATAATAATAATAATA